TTTCTCCTCATTCACAGTGGAATACATTCCTAAACTGTGCCTGAGCCATCCAGTTGTGGGAGTAAGTGGGTTGCTGAGAACTCCTCCTACAGGAATTTCCGCTGAAGCAACAGGAATTCCTTCCTCCCCTACCCTGACTGGTATTGTTGATACTCACCTTTCTGAACTATGGGAAGAAGCTGATAGCAAAGGAGACACCTTTTTCTGTGACCTGGGGCCTGACAGTTACTTTTCAGCATGAGGTCCCTTCCAATACAAGTTATTCTGTGATATCTGGCCTCTCAAGGTAGGCTGGAGAAAAGGACAGGTACATAATTCCTCCTTAGATCTCTCTGCTAATGATAACTTTTGTCTTGCCTAGGAACTTTCTTTAGAAAGGGTAACCTCCAATCTGCTGGGGATGAAACAGAAAGGAGGGAAAGAGGTATCCTAATTTGCTCTGTGAGCAGCAGAGCCTATGAAGGCTCTAATCCAATGAAACTATGTGCTATGTCCCTCATGCTCCCATTCAACTGATCAGTATGCCCTGTCTCCTCTTCATATCCAGCATTCTACATCCAAGTGTTTCTCCAGCGCTACAAGAAGAACATTCTTCCCTGCAGTATCTCCAGTTCTTCCTCACCTCCTTTAACTGCCCCCCAGCCTCTCATGCTCAGTACCTGTAGCTCTCAAAGAAGGCTTTCAGTTATTTTTTTGGTATGCCAAGCTTCAAAACATTTTAAGTTCTTGGAACCAAAATACCTGATTCCCACACAGATCCAGACCAATTTTTCCTAACCATGAATAAAGCTTCCCAGACAAGAACCAAAAACGTTTTCTAGAGGATCAAAAAACCCCACACTCCTGTATTTACCTTCAATATATGCACTGCAAAGAAGGGGAGTACTATCATGGCTATTTTACAGATGGAACTGAAGCTCAAAGGCTAAATTACTTACCTGCTGCCAGACAAAAGCGTGGTGGAATATGGAACTGACTACAACAGTCCTAATTTTCAAGACAGTGACTTAAACACTGCATCATTTTTCTTGCAAGGCCCACACAGTCTGCACTATGCACAAATAGACCTCGGATCTTGGGTACTATGCTTTGACCTGAACTTTGTTTTTTGCTCTCTCCTGTTATACATTGTGCACATAGAAACGGTGTATATTCTGCAGCACTTTCTCAGAAGCTGGAAAATAATTTCCTTTCACTAGCAAACACACTGTTTATGTTGAAAAAGCCAATACAGCTTTTCATTTACTGCTGTGTCTGCATGTTAGCATGAAGGTCAGTAGGAGGGTACACAGTACTGAGAAAATGAGTAGTTAATTATTGCTAGACTGCAAAAAGTGAAAATACTTTATTCTGGTTTAGCAAACAGCAAATCACAAGAACCGCTTCTTTTTCTGGACTATTTTTCGTAGAAGGGCATACGTAGAGTAAGATTTATGATAACTGGAGGCTATTTGACGTGCTTTGAGTATTACTGATAAAAAAATTCACTCTCATCATTTGGAATAATCTCAATAAGTACAGTGGTCAGCAAGAAAAATCCCATTTGATTTTTCACAATCCCATGGGATTTGTCAAAATCCCATGAGATTTTTCTTGCCAAATATTATACTTATTTATTGAGATTATTCCTTCGTGCTCGTGTATAATCTGGCAATTTGTCAGTATCTTTTGCTGTATTAACTCCTTCTGAAGTGCTTGTACTTGAGGGTTTCATTACATCATTAACAGTCTATAAGGCTTCACAACTAAGCTGTGTTGACACCAAAATGCCAGATTTTCTCTTTATGGAACAAGTTTTAATAATTTCAAAACATCAGCATACAACAGCAGGCCTAAATTTAGTAAAACCAGTTCCTGTTCAGATGTCAAAGCACTGTTTAAAACTTTTCTTCAGTCCTTCAAAGGCTGAACTTATATTTGCTGTTCATGATCCAGCTAGAATAAGTAAGCAAAATGCATTCATTACAGAATAGATATAACTGCTTTAAAAATATTCTAAGAAGGCATTTTTATCAAATGTTTTGTCCCAACCTTTCTATCAGAAAAATCAGAACAGGTTGATCAAAATTAGCAAACCTAGTTCCTCTGCAAAAGGCAGGCCTAGGCCCTCTCACTTACTAATAATTACATAAAATTACATATAATTATAAATACATCTAATATCATTGTGTGATTGTGTTGAAAAATAATAATTGTTGAAGTTTACAAAAGTAGCAAAAATTCTTTCTTCCAGAGCAAGAGAGCACAATTCACTGTACTGAACTTCCCCTGGCACTGGGTAGCTGGGAGGAGAGGCTTATGTCCAGCATCCACGAGCAGAACAAAGCCTTGTCTCAAAGCCAGCTGCAGGACTAGGACTTACCACATGAGAATTGGGTCTAAAGTCTGGCAAATGCCAGAGCAATCAGCAAATTTCCGTGTAAATTCTGGACAATTATTGCAGTACATTCCTTATTGACTTAACAGCTTTATCCAGACAGAGTATCAAAGCTTTGAAAAGGATATTCACTATCCTAACACTTTAAAGCCATGGCTGATCAGCCCGCTTTATTAGGTGGAACACAGTGAGTGGGAAGTGATGATCATCAAAACCAATGTGCACCACTTTCAGAGTTTAGATTCACTTCAGTAGTACTCAACAGATACGAACTGCTGTAAATTCTGTACAGGCAATTACAAAACTTACCAAGCTTTTCTGGACCAGAATGAACTAGAGATCACGACCAACAGACATGTACAGTTCTATAAATGCTAAATAAAGGAGTTCAGGTACTCAAATGTTTTGCAACATTTAAGTAACTTGAAGACAAAAGGCTCAGCACCTGTCACCAACAGCCATTGTTCTGAAACCATCTAACATTTTTCTAGTCAAGATCCAGACTCACAAAGTAAACAAGTAGCAGAGACTGTCTTATCTTGTAACTCCAAAATAAGTAATTTCAGATCCTCTGTCATGTCTTTTATCCTGAGTGATTTAGTAACTGTTCCACACTAGCACGATGTATGTTTTTTAAGCATTTATGTCACCAAGTGACAGATGCAGCATTACTGAACAATTCCCACAGTCTCCTAAAACTCTTCCGTTTTGCAGCTCATTGGTTACAGATGGAGTATGTGCATTTAAGCAACACTTTATTTTCATTAGGATATATTTTGGGTTTAAACAACTTTGCTGCAACTGACTGTTAATGCCAAGTTGGATGGGGCTTCGAGCAACCTGGTCTAGTAGAAGGTGTCCCAGCTAATAGTAGGGGGGTTGGAACTAGATGATCTTTAAGGTGCCTTCCAACCCAAACCAATCTATGATTCCTTCAGTGAATGTGTGCACTCACTCTGGCTCCAACCATCATGCAAAATCACCTAGGAACTCAAAGGAATCAAATATGGCCACATTCTCCCAGCAAGCAAACTCAAAATATCTTAATGCTTAGTGATAATAGAAGACTAAATAAAAACATAAACTTAGAGCAAGAAAGGTTTGTCTGAGTGGGAGGGTAATGACAAGGACATGTAGAAATGGAATAGCAAGTAACAGAATGCCAGTTTGGGAATGAATGCTGTAAACATTGAGTTGCTCATCTGTTAAAACTGTGGTGTCCAAAAAAACATTAAAAACTAACATCTGCTAACTTTAGAAATAACACTCACTGTGTATACATTCTTCAAAACATATAGGATCCTGCAATGGTCTTTAAAATGTTGTGTATCATAATGAAGTGCTAAAATTAATTCAGAAAAAAATGGCATATTCAAGCTAAACGTACATGCTACCTGACCTGTACTCAAGAACAATATTTGTTCCGTTATTCTGTAACCACAGAATCATAGAATATCTTGAGCTGGGAGGGACCCACCAGGATCACTGAGTCCAACTCCTGGCCCAGCACAGGACACCCAAAGAGTCACACCATGTGCCTGAGAGTATCATCCAAATGCTTCCTGAACTCTGTCAGGTTTGGTGTTGTGACCACTTCCCTGGGGAGCCTGTTCCAGTGCCCATATATAGGTTATATAGGTTATAGACTATTTCCTTCTGAAATCTGAAAACACATAGTTTATTCAGAACCTATTATTAGACAGACATCCAAGTTGGGTGAAGATTTTCAACAAAGGCAATCCTTTACTCTCTTCTTCTAATGAACATTATACTCACCATTAAAAAGTCCTTTTTAAAAAAGATTCTTTAAAGAATCTGCTTTTCAACCCCAATATTTAGCGTTAATCTCCTGTATCATGTGTACCGGTCCAGATTTCAGCAGCACGGAAGGTGGGCTACAGGAATTGCCCCCTGCTGGCCACAGCCAGTTCCAGCTGGATCTGCCAGAGGTCCCACACTGCAAGACACGGGCTGAGCCCAGCAGCCAAGCGAGTGGCCCCTTTTTGACAAGCAGAGGAATGAGGGGAAACGAGTGAGGAACAGCAGGTGAACACCAGAATCAGAAAACAGTGCAGGGGAGGAGGTGCTCTAGGCACTGGAGAAATTAGACCCTTGCAGCCCATGGGGAAGACCATGTTGGAGGAGATATCCATACCAGAGCAGCTGGGTATTTCCTGGAGGAATTTCAGCTCACGAAAAGTCCACACAGGAGCTGGAGAAAAAGGGGAGGAGTAAGGAGCAGAAGAATTGTTAAGAACTGACTGTAATGCCCCCATCCACCACTCAGGAGACTCAGAAGAGGAAACAGGAATCAGAAGTGAAATTGATCCTGGAAAAAGGGAGGCAGCAGTGGGAAGATGTTGGTTTAATTTTTGTTTCTCACTATCCAAATCTATTTTAATTGGCAATAAACGACATTAATTTTCTCCATGTTGAGTCTGTTTTGCCTGCAAAAGTAACTGGTAAGCAATGTCCTTGTGTTTATCAGGTCTCACAACTTTTGTCATTCTGTTTACTCCTCCTGTCCTTTTGAGGAGCAGGGGCAAGAAGAATGTCCAGAGGGACACCTGCCAGGTGGCCAAGGTACCTCCCACACCCACTTGCAAAATAAAAAAAGTACTCATTGGTTTAAAAATTTTAATGTACAAATTTACACTAACCATGTTGCATTTTCTGCACTGATCTCTCCCATTATATACTTCTACCGTGCTTTCAAAATAAAACCACAGAAAGTAAATCTCAAACTAGGGAGGAAACTGCAGCATGATTTACTCTATTCATAATTTATTCTACAAGTGTCTACAGATTCAAAAAAATCCTTTTCCCTTTTCTCAAGGAAATAAATATTTCACTTCTATACTCAATAATCATTCAGCTCTCTAAGAGTCTGTGAGCTATGCACCAGCATCCTCTGTCAAAATAGCATGTTTTTATCTCTTGGGATTCCAACCAGCAGCCTTTGTTGCTCCTCACGTGCTCACACAGCATATTCAGAATTCTTCTCCAGCAACACCCAAAATCACACTTCAGTGAAAGAAGAAACAGCTGAAGATGTCCATCTTCAGTTCTGTAATATGCACAGCCGCCAACATTACTTTCTTCCAAACGGATCAGACCACACTTTTAACCCTACAAATCAATCAGCAGTTCATAATTAGACTGTTGGAGAGAAAAAAAATACTCCACCCTTGTGTATTAAACAATAAAAGAACCCAACAATTTCTGCACTTAACTCGCAACTCTGCTTAAGCTTGCAAAAATATGTAAAAGACAACCTCATCTTGATCTTAAGCTTCAGATAATGGAAAAATCTATCACACTCATAGGTAAGGTATTCTAATACTGTTGGATCAATGATCTAGAATTGCACCTTGCACTTAAATTTTTCTAGATTTAATTTTCCACTAACGGATCTCGTAATTTCTCATCAGCAGCTAAATTTAGATGAAACAGTTATACTGAGGACAACTCCTCATCAAGTACTTGCATCTTGGATAAATGAGCCAGTCCAGTGCACTTGAATGCTCAGTAAAATAGACAGGTTCTATTTCACAACACCCTTCCTACTACTCTTCAGCATTTCACCACTTCCCTGGAAAGTAAGTCCTGCACTAATGATTTAACTGATATGTGTAATAAGGACATGGCTTTAATCCTATTTGATTTTCCCCTGCTGCTGGTGTTAGGCTTTTTCAAAAATAGGAATAAATTATCCTTTAACATACTCTGTTTCATCAAGACAAGCACTCTCACATCTTTAACTGAGAAGTGCCAACCTTGCATAATGAACGGCCCTTCCATTTACCATTATGAAGCAATGAACTATCAAGGATAGTCTGCCTACTTGAATTTTATCTCCCTTATATGCTTTTCTACACCTTCCACTGGCAACAGCAGAGATCAAAAAGCTATTACCATGGCATTCCAAATTTTCCATTACATGTAGTGGATTTCTGCATGGCCTGTCCATCCATGAGGCTGGAAGGCACTGCTAAAGTGCTCATAAACTGTGTTTCAGCTGAGCTGTAAAGCAGCATTCCACAAAACTAGGGTGCAATACTGTTCTTTACAGCTGCAGCTCAGACCACGCATGGTTCTGGCTTGCTCTGAGTAGGTTCAGAAGTGGAAACTGGCATCTATTTAAGAAAGTGTGAGGATAACAGAAATTCTGCAACTTATTTGGCCAGTTACGTCAATTTAAAACAAGTTTCATTAAAACCATAATTTTCCAGTGAAGAATTAGCCTGAAAAAATAATGTCATGGCAAGTTTATTATATAGGTCTTCTCTGAAGGTGTTCTTCACTGTATTACTTAAATCCATATAAATATTCAGGACTCACTTCAAGAGGGTCTTTAAAACAATAACTGTAAACACATGAATCAAGTATACCTGCAGGCTGAATATCCTCTTGAACAATACCAGCTCGGTTTATTGATTGTTCTTTCTCTGGAAAACAAAACAGAAAGGACACTACTAAAAAAAAGAAAATACCAGATATCTTGATTGCACCCAATAAAAGAATCTTGAAAATTTTCTTAATTCTAGATGCTACACAGTAAAATTCTGCTGAGTATCCACCTACACAATGCAAGTGTAGTATTCCCACTTCACTGAGAAACTAACAGCTAGTCTGTTTTGAAAGACTACAAACGATAGATAATCATCTTAAAACAACGACTACTGTTAAATAAAAAATGCCAAAATACCTGCCACTATCCAACCACTTCAGGAATGACTGGTAATTTTAGAATCTATCATTCGTATGCTCAACATGAAACTATTTAAAATATTTTTTTCTTTCTAGAATGACTTTTCTCAGGTCCTGAAAGATCTTTCAAGTAGATTTCATGACAGCACCTATGAAATTACTGCTTGTAAACTTTGTGAATTTGAGTATCAGAGGGATACTTTTTCCATACATGGGGCCTGTCTCAAGCTTTTCTTTTTTCTTTGAAAGATTAAACCATTTCCAAGAAGAGAAATGGAGAAAACTATACTATTTCCCTTATTAAATGTCCCTCCTTTTCTTTCACTTCCAGTTAAGCTCTTCACCACTGTGGTAATCTGAAGCAGTAAGTCAAAGCTCAACCGGATTAGCCTTTTGCCCACACCACTGAACTTCTGAAGCCTTTAAAAAATTCTCAGAGGAAGCTCAGAACTAAGCTCACCTTAAAACTGAAATTTTTCATCCTATCCCACTGGGAATGCACTGGCACTACGCATTATCAGGCTGTCTAGGTACAAGCCTAATGCTACTAGAGACTTGCAGGAATATCACAGTAATTGATTCTCTTTGCAAGGGGCCAGGAACTAGAAGTAGATCCAGCTTCTCCAACTCTGTTCACTGAGGTAGTAATTCCATTCCATCATTTTTAGCAGACAAAGGAACTGCCTAATTTCAAAGGAAATGGTATAAAACCCAAACAGGAAGAACAACAGATACGGGCAAGGAATGAGACTTACTGTAGGACATAGAGGAGAAAGATATTTAAGTGGAAGCTAAGATCAGAAGAGAGGCAGGGACCAAAACAGGAATCAATCTGAGAGGTCCAGGAACACACTTGGGTTGAACAGAAAGAGCTATCAATTGGTCAGGCAAGAAAACCAGTGCAAAGAAGTAACAGGTGAGAAACACACACATAAGACATGAAACTCTCAATAGGGAGACTGGTGCAGGGCCTGTAAACAACTTGGAAAACAGGTAAGCCAGAAAAAGGATAACTAGGAAGACCCAGTCTTGAGGAGAGGGGTCTTCCCCACAGGGTGGGGAAGGAGCCAAGTCTCACAATTCAGATAATCACAAAACCTGTGAAAATGCCCCAAGCAGCAGCTGTCAAACCACTATTTTAATGAATTCACAAGGAAAAGGTCTGTGCTCAAGGCCTCAAAGTTTCATCATTGCCACTAAACTACATGTTTCATATGAGAAAAGAGTCTTTCTTAAAGCTAGATACAGACAGGAAAATATTAGAAACGTCAAGGCCACAAAATGAGGTGCTAAAAACCTACAAAATCATAACATTTCTGTATGAAATTAAGTCAAACTCCTTTGTGCACAATTTAAGGTCATATTAACAATTTGATTACATACAGTTTTTCCAAGTACTTTCCATTTCATTTTTTAAATGGCTAGGAACAACTCCAAAGATGCGTGAGAGCTGTGCAGAAAAGTCTTCTTCCTGAACATTAATGTACCTCCTTTGTGTAGAATTTGGAAGATACACAAGAAAAACAAGACTGAAGAAAGAAAAGATAGCATTTCATGTTTACACAGTTGAATGTCACTCCAGATAACTAAAATCCATTCTTGCCTTTTGCAGGATTACCATGTGATGCTAAGGAAAATGTCCAACTTTTTGGACCCAGCATGCCAAAACACAGAAATATTGAGTATTCACCCACAGATCAAGCCAATAGAGGGTGGGAGCTTCTATAGAAGTCGTCATACAGCTTACCAGACTGTACTCTGAAAATCCTTTGTACCCCAAAGATTAAATACTTCCACTCAAGTGCAAAATTCCATGTTCTTGCCTAAAGCATTATGATAATGAATGCCTGTGCCTCTCTCATATTGCAGCAATGACCATCAAGAGAACACAGCAAATAAATAAAGGTGAGATCAGAGGAGAGTTTGAGCACCATGCAATAAATAAAGTTCAGCATCAGGTATCAAATTGCAAGTTTACACACTTGCTAACAGTGCATCACTCATTTTATTTCCTAAATAGAGATTTAAAAATACCTAACCTATTAGGGAACATCTGCTCATGTAATTCACAAATGCAAAGGAGAAAGTGGTCCATTAATTCTGTCCTTTCCTTAATGCCAAGCCACACTTCTAATATAATATTTTTGGAAAGTATAGCATAAGCAAAAATGAATTAATAATAAGGTTTTTTAAGGACATAGCTTCCCTAAATAAAAACTTGTTTGCAAGTTAAATTTTATTTCAGCTTTGATGCAAGGCCAAAGCCTCTCCAATAAGATCAATAAGTTTGTTATCCTTTTCCTTTTTTTTTTCTTCCTAGGAATCTTCTGTTGTCTTGGCAGATTAACCACATACATCTTCAAGTTATCACCAACATCTTGCTTAGTTTCATAAAAGTTAAAGCAAGGAGGCAAGGCTGATTCCACCAGAACTTTCCTTGGGTGGTATTTCACATGAGTTGAGGAGTAACAGGTGCTACCCCTATCACTCCCACAGGATGGAGCACCTGCCTGGAGCAGCTGAGGCTTTGCAGCTGGACCTGCAGGTGCCTTTGAGAGCTCCCTGGATAGAGTCGGCTGTGGGCTTTGGCAGGTTTTCCGTGTTTCTGGTAGGAGAGTGGGGTTTTCCTCTGGAGTCTGTTTTACAGACCGAGATCAGCTCTAGCGAATCATCACAACCAGTAAAAAAACTGTTACCAAGTTTTAATTTAGATTTTCAATTGCAGCTGGAGAACAAAACTCGAACAGCTTATAGAATCATTGTATAATTTGAATTGGAAGGGACCTGTAAAGATCACCTGGTTTAACCTCCCTGCAATGATCAGGGGCACCTTCAACGAGATCAGGTTGCTCAGAGCCCTGTCCAACCTGACGCGGAATGTCTCCGGGGATGGGGCATTTACTACCACCTCTTTTGGCAACCTATTCCAGTGTTTCACCACCCTCACAATAAAAAACGTCTTCCGTTTATCTGCTCTCAATTTATTCTCTTTTTTTATTCACCCCTTGTCCTACTGCAACAGGCCCTACTCAAAACTCTGCTCCCACCTTTCTTATAAGCCCTCTGCAAGTGTTGAAATGCTGCTATAAGGTCTCCCCGGAGCCGCCTTTTCTCCAACAACCCCAACTCTCTCAGCCTTTCCTCGTAGGAGAAGTGCTCCAGCCCTCGGATCTCAGCTTCTTTAGCTGCACCTCAACCCTCTACAGAAGAGCTGAAGGGTGTTCTTAATCACGCGCTGCCCAATAACTCGAGGGTTATTATTTCGTTTTTAGGTACATCCTAGGCGAGCAGAAAGCCCTCGGGAGTCACTCCCCGAGCGGCAGCCCCAGCACTCCCCCAGCCGCGGCTTGGCCGGGCCTGGCTGGCTCCCCCCGCGCAGGACTCACTGTACTCCTCGGGCAGCAGCAGAGGCCGGAAGTAAATGGGGTAGAAGGCGGCTCCCACCACGGCGGCGAAAGCGCCGAAGATGCCGAGGGTGCGGGACAGCCCCGCCATGGCCCGGCCGTCACGGCCCGGGGCCCTTCCGGAACACGCGGGACGGGGCGGGACGGGGCGGGGCGGGACAGGACAGGACGGGGCGGGGCCGGGGCGGCGGCAGCGCCCCCGCGCGGCTGGAGGGGCGCAGTGCGGGGATGGTGCCGGTGCCGCTCCCGCCGCGCTGTCACCGCGGCCCGGGCCGCCCGGAGCGATGAGCCCCGGTCCCGCCGCCCCGCCCTAAAGCCGCCCCGCCCTCCGGCGGGACAGCGGAGCTGCCCCGGGCCGCGGCCGCGCTGGCAGCGCAGCGCCGAGGCGCCAGGGAGGGGAGGAGCGCGGGGGCCGCCGCGGAGCCGCCGGGAGGGCGGGCGCGGCCCTGCGCGGGGTCCCGCCCGGGCGCGGCGCTCCCGGGACACCGCCCGACGCCTGCTGGACGGAGCTGCGCGGCGGCAGCGGGAGCCGCGCAGCATCGCTGGGGCCGGGCCCGTCCTGCCGCTCCGCACCTGCGGCTCGGGGCCCTGCCCTGCCCTGCCCGGGCGGCTGCCCCTCCTCCAGGAAGCCGGATCTGCCGCATCCTTGTCGCCGGGCCGGTCGCGCACTCCCGAACGCGCTGGGCACGGCAGCGGCAGCAGCAGCAGCAGCAGCATGCGGCCCCCGACCCAGCTCCGCCGCCCCCCTGCGCTGCTGCTCCTCCTCCTCACGGTGAGTGCCGCCGGCCCCGCACCTGCCCCGCGCCCGGCGCAGCGCGGGGATCGCGGCGGGGCCGGGCCGTGCGGGGCCGCGGGTTGTTCGCGCAGAGGGAGCCGGGGCCGCTGTCCGGAGTGCGCGGCCGCCCGGCCTGGCCCCCAGGGGCCCCCTGCCTTATCCAGCTGGAGAGTGCCGAGTCGTCACATCCAGGTGTTAAAAAGCTTTCTGTCCTGGGTGACGTTAAATTTCTAGTGTGGAAAGAAGGAGGATGTGTTTGACATCTACTTACAGGTGAACGGCTGAGCATGCTGCTGCACTGGCTTACGGAAACAGCCGCGTTTTAGAGGCATGTACTGAGCTACTTTTTTGTATTTTATGCTGCTAAACACAAGCTCCGGTTAAAGTCATTGTATTCCTGTACCGTATTGGTGCTGATCAACACCCCTTTTTGTCTTGTCTTTTCACGCATCTTAAAATGTAGCATGACGTGTCAGGCGTTCACAGGTGAAGGACTGCGATTATCTTCAGACTTGTGCAAACGTGCAGTTTGATAGGGTTATGTGGAATCTCTGTAGGGGTGAACTCATGGAAGGTCCTGCTGAGATCTGACTCCAGAGAGTGAAAAAATGGTTTCTCGATCATTTCTGTATTATTACACTACTGAAGATGTTCAGTTTCCTAACACTTGTTGTGATTGCCTCCCACAGTGATTTTTATCCCAGGATCTGATGGGATGACTTCGTTCAGATTCAGCAGGGTTTAAGTAAAGAAAAAACCTTTTACAGCTTTTGTGGCTAAGCTGCCCCACGCAACAAAGAGTTTATGCCTGTCTTGTTGAACTCTGCCTAGTTCATGGTAACATTTTGAATCAGTGTAGCTAGACTCTTTAGTGTGCTGGGAAACTTTTATATTTAAGTCTCCTAATCATACTCAACATTTAATGTAATTTTACATCCTTGCTTGATGTATTCAGAGGTGATGCACAATTAACTCTGCTATAGCTGTGTGATATAGCAGGGAGGGAAATGCTGGGATTCCTCACCCAGGAGGAGCATTTAGGTGATGAGCACACTATGCATTTCACCAGGGAGGAGTCTGTAGAGGTGACCAAGTGGTAACAGAGACTCGGCCGTGGTTTAGGAGTTTATGGTCTACAGTCTCCGCCACAGTTCCAGTGGTGTGGAGTTGCTCAGGGTCCTTTGCACCACGCTCTTTACTGGATGAGCCTCCTGAAGGGTTTGTTAGGGGAGTGTAACAGCAGACCCAAATATGCTTCATGCCTTTTGGCAGCATATTCCTCAGATAATACCCAGGGACCAAAGAATACAAAGTAAAGTCTCTTGAGTAACTCTTTGGGAGTCATTTGTCAGAACAGGCACTAAGGGAAAGGCACTAAGACCAGAAGGGCTGAAGCTAACCTTATGGATCAGCAGTCATGGTGCAATGTGCTTAAGTGCTCTAGGAACATCATGGAAATTGTTCTACAAGGAACTGGCTTTGGGTTGCAGAGCTTACTGCCTTGGGATCCCCACCACAAAATTTCTGCCATTCACTGAAAATCAGATGGACACATTTGTACACTGCTGCATCTTTGTCAGTGAACTGTGCCAGACCCAAGCTGTCTTTGCTGGCAGCCAGTTCCCATATCTCTGTATTGGATAAACCTGAGCTGGCTCTGTGTATTTTGACAGTAAACGTGTGTGTGTGGTAAGCACACAGTGGTACCACAATGCTTTGTAGTGTCTACCTGGTAGACTTTTACATTTTGTGACAACCACATGGCATTGCTTTCATAATATATTACCATCTTCCTCATGACACAGCCCCCATATCACAAGGATTAAGCTGTTTACAAGTACTCTTTACTGTAAGATCAAGAAATGTGAATTATAACCATCAACTGAAAGAGGTTTAGGATAATTTGTTGTTGCTATATGTGCTTTTAATGCTTTAAAGGTATCTATAACCAAAGAAAATTTATGTAGGCGATATAAAAGAACAGTATCTTTGTCAAGTCAAGCTCTGAAAGATACTCAAATTAGTATTAAAATCAAGGTTCTCTCATGAACTTTTATCTCAGTATTTGTGCGTGTGTTATTCCATATGTGTTTCAATGTACACCCACCTCCTATGGCTATTCCTTTTTTAGCCCCTTCTGTACACATTGTTTTTACAATATCCATTCTATAGAGTGGGAAATGAGGCACAGAGGAAGGCTGTCACTCTGACCAGAGTACTTATTGTAGAAAGTCTAGATACTGACATTGTGGAGTGTTTTGCATTTTTATAGCATTTCATTTGTTCGCAGTGTATGTCTTGGTGCTTACATATATCAGTGTTCAACATCGCTGCACATCTCACTTTAAGTGTCTTGTCAGACACGAGAAAATAAAGAGCATTTGGTTGCACTTATGGAAAGTGGTTTAAGTGACAAGTTCAGAAATACCTCGGATCACTAAATAAATCTAGTGATCTAGATCACCCATCTGCCAGAAATGGTATCTAGCTTTCTCATCTGAAAGTTCCCCCATTCAGTTATGTTTTCCGGTGTCTGCCCTAAAAAAAATCCAGGTCTTAAAGTAAAAACTCCACCCTATGCACAGCTGTGTTCCACTCGCAATCCTGGAGCTGTTTTATGCCTTTAAGAAGACAGGGAACTGGGGGGAAAACAGCATTTGATCACATTGTTAAATCCAAAATCCTCATCTGTAGGAACAAGGAAGGAGTACAGGTAAACCTAGTTCTGACTTTTCCTAGTATTTACACCTTTGCAGATCTTACTGACTTGTTATTTTTTCAGTGTAGCTCTCAAGGAGTGTCAACATATTCTTAAGAAATAAAAAGCAAAATAGTTTATCATTAGGGACTTTTACTGATCCCCACATTGGATCATGGGCAAAGTCTTGTCTTTCAGGTGCACAGCACAGAATTTCTATGATTAGAAGTGTGCTAATTACTAGTCCAAAGCTTTTAAATATTTTGAAAATCACAGTGAAAAAACTATCAGTTCAAGTTATGTATCCAAGATAAATTTCAATTTGATTTGTCTAAGCTTAACAAAGTTAAAAGTTACCCGAGACAGATCTCATGTTAAGCAATCTTGACAACCAGCTTCCTTGGTAATTCTAAGTGGCAATTCTGAATATTTTAGACAGACCAAGGGACCTGGCAGAAGTGCCATGTTGGTGGCTGGCCTTCTGAGCTGAGTAATCCCCGCTATCCTTGGCAGTGCATCAAGCCGGATGCCGACTGCAGGGCAGAAAGAAAAGAAGCTGTTTGAAGTCTTAGAGACAAGAACTTCAGCATGGAGGATAATCCTGGTGTGTGTCCAAGCACTCACTCTCAAAGTGTATTAGAGTGTACATAGCTGTGGAGAGCAAAAGCTGAGCAAATGCAGCCTGCTGGTCTTGCTGCTCAGATTTCCAAGTCCATCTTCAGGATAGGAACGCTTCAAAAATAAACCCCTAAACACTTCATGAATATTAATTCTTTCTCAGGAAACCATTGAGAGCTGCCTTAGTTGTTATTCTGCCCTTCAGGTACCTGCATGGTAGTAAAATTAGTTACTCTTTAAGAAGATACAGAAACGTCAAGAAGTGGCAATACTAGTGAACAATGATGGAACGAATATATGCCAGTACATTTTAGGGTACACTCTTTAGGCCTGATCCTAGGAGCGTGTGTACATAGCATGATGTGTAAGTCGCTATCTTAGACCGGATTCCACTTGCGTAAGGGCTGAGGGATACACCCTGTAAATACAGTTTGTTTGTAGAGGCATGTGTAACTTTGAGAACTTGATGTAGGGAAGTTGTTACCATTAAAATCTTGATGGTAGCTCTCCAGTAATCCATGTCTACTTGCTGTGTGAAAGAAACCTCATATTTTGGAGTTAAAGTATGGTATATAAACCTTCTGCTTGTGCAATGTTCTGTTATTACTCTGAGTATGTGAGTAATCATGTAAACTTGGATACTCTGGATAACATGGTTCTCTGGCTAACATGCTTGTGTTTTGGGTTTTTTTTCCAGAATTTTGTGCCGTCCTTTGGAAAGGAGACATTACAGACAACAGCAGTTACTTCACAGTTTGAGAAAAACATGGATTATGTGGACTTTATCCATTTAAACATTTTAGAAAAGAAAGTTCTTAACAATTCTGAGGTGTCAGTTCAGTATTTATGTTCTAAGCCTTGTATTGTCAATTTGGAAGCAGTAGCTTCCTCTGAGTTCAGGACTGGCGTACCAGTGTACAGAAGGAGATGGAAGGATGAGAAGAACCTTTATGTTAGCAGAACACGACAAGTACGCTTGAAATTTCCGAGCATCATGGTTTACAGAGATGATTATATCATCAGAA